AAGAACTTGAAAAAAAACAAGTATGATAAAGCATCATCTCAACAATTCCCCGTACTACAATAAACAAAACTTTTTTTGAACCAATTTTGAATAAACCACACTAAAGTGTTTCGTCTAATATGTATAATAAGTTTTATTTTCAGACACGTATAAGATCCCCAATATATTCAGTTATTTATTATTTTAATCAATGGAAATTGACTGAAACTCCAAATGTAACCGCATCTAGTTTATACATCGGTCTCGGTGCAAAAGTAATGCTTAAATTGAATTAAAACATACGTGTTGAGATTATGTGGGTGGTGATGTTTTACTACCTAAAATATAAAATATCTTCCCTTTGTTGTTGTGACTGGTAGTAAAACATATAGTCGTTAAAAGTGAGGATAAATCACATGTATACGCCACTAGTCGTATTCCGCTTTATTGTATTAACAATATTTTCTGCGAAACGTGTGCCATATGAATTAAATGAATTTCAGTTCCTATAAAACAAATTTTATAAATAAATAAACTAGCGTCATATGGTGAGTCAACAGCTTGGTAAACTAGCTCAATAAAAAACTTAAAAAATTTTTTTCCAATTTTTGAGAATAGTTATTTTTATAGCTACTTTTAAATTTAATTATTCATATGAAATGATTGCTATCTAAAAAAGCTTGTATACAATAAAATAGAAATTCTAATAATTAATTATATAAACTTTTTGATAAGTCTTTGTAAAATAATTATATTACACGACAAGTAATAATTACAAAAAATTGATTTGAATAACCATAGTAGTATTATACTAGACAACCTACCTAAGCATTTCCGTGGCAATAAGTTATGCAGTTTTCCCGTTCCTACTGATACTTTTTAGAGAGTACATTAAATATAAATAAATGTAGATAATTTAAGATCACCTGAATATTTTAATCAGGTGGCCTTTTCTGGTGATTTTATAAGTGAATATTGGTTATTATTTTTAATTTGACTTTCATCATCTAGAATGATTTGATTCATTTTGAAGAATCTCTCTTCAACGAATATAGTAAGATTTTATTTAATTATATTTTAAATTTTGATTGTTTATAACAAAAATTATATGAGAATTTGTTTTGTAATTGCACTATTCTAGTATGCTGACTTTATTAAATTAATTAATTGTTTCAAATTGAATACAGTGATGCCGATATCAAACGATATACCATAATACTAATGGTATAGAACTCATGTGAACTTATTAAATAAGTTCACATTCAACTTAAATTTTAAGTTCGCGAAAAAAGTTCGATAGGTCTATATTATACAATTTTTTAAAATCATTTTGGAAAAATATGTTTTTAAACAACAATACTTTGTATAACTCTAGTATATATTTTAAGTTTTGTTATAGTATTCACTCTGAAAGCAATGAATTTCGTGACTTTATGATAAAAAGATTCTAACATGAACTTTTTTTAAGCGCTTTTTAAAGTTTAGAGTGATTATTTTTGAGATTGGTTTTTAGGATTCTTTTAGATTTAGGTTGAACTTGGAAACTTTAAAAAGTAATAGAAATGCAACAAATATATACAGAGGATGATAAATGTATGATAACACAATTATTTTCTCAGAAACGATTGAATATTTTCAATTTTTGTAAAGAAAATTATTGTTTGATCTATAAAAAATTTAAAATAGTATATTATTAAACAAATTTTTCTTCATAACTTCAATGTTACAATACCTAAACATTAATTTTATGTAATGGGAACCACTATTTTTAATTTGATGATATAATAGAAAAAAATTTTCTTCTTACTTTTTTTATTTCATCAACCGTTTAAATTTTAATTGTTTGAAGATTTATATTAGAATAGAAATGTATTGATAATTTGGTTTATGTAATACTGAATGCAATTATTAATATCGTACGGTATTTAACAAACATTTCAATAGACCATAAATAATTATCGGTATTTAATCTTGACATCGTAAGTAACAGGTGTGTTAACAAGAATTTTCAATAAACTTGTTTATCTGCATCATGAAGAAATTACGATTTCTGTATGGTACACATCAAATTATCAATCGAAAATTGGTCAAACATCGTTAAATTTTAACAAACAATAACAGATAAACAGTTTATCGATTAAAAAAATTATAGAAACAAAATTGTTTGACATTTATATTTTCTTATTAAATTAAAAATAAGGGTTCCCATTAAATTTACAGTTTTTAAACTATAAATAATAAAAAATAATAGATTTAACTTCATATTATTGTAATGTTATTTGAATTAAACAACATTTTCCTTAACGAAAATTAAAAGTTTTCAATAGTTCCAAGAAAATAAGTGTCTACTGCTTAATTGATCAGAGTGGTTACTTTATTTTTAAAGACCATTTTTTAACTAAAAATAAATATAACGTTGAGAATTTTTTTTGGATGTTTAAAGTTACATTTTTTTTTTTTAATTTATCAATTATGAAATATTTTTCATGTTTATCCCTTATGACTTATAATGGTGTCAATATTCACTTTTCAATTAGCAATATACATATTTAACTAGTTAATTTTTTTGATCATGTTCAAATTCAGAAAATAACTGGTAGATGACTACTTTTAGACTAGCATTTCGGATGTTATTAACAATGTAAAGTAATGGTTGGAGTTAAAACCTGGGTTTTATTTTTATCACTAGCCTTACTCCTCCTGCCTAGATATAAATTATTTATAACTTCCTAAGTACTGGTTCAAAAGTTGTTAACGACCAGTCTTTTTCTTAATTGGATCATTATCTAAAAATAATCCAGTTAATTATGTTCTATTTTATCCTATTTCGTAATATTGCACAAATGAATTTTTTTCAATTAGATTTTTATGATCTCACCTAATTAATTTTTGGTATGAATGATATAAAATAATTTCTTAGTTTTCTTTTATGATATCGTCTATACTTTCACACAATCCCTAATATTATAAAATTATATGTTTTATTATACTGATATAAAACTCGATGATGTGTCGTATATGGACTCTTAACTCCATACATTGGATTTTGGTATTTTTACAACTATTCTTTGTAATGAATCGCTTTGTACACAATTAATTTATTTTTTATGACTTTGCCTATCACCTATCTATCTAATAGTCTTTTTTAGGTGAGACACTAATAGTAGTGTCCTTTAATGAAATTTTTTAAAAAATTGACAAAAATGAAGTATGAATGAAATGTTTTTTCTAGAAAGCTTCCGTAAACGAGCATAGTGTTTTTTAATGTACATTAAACATTAAAAAAATACGTTTAAAAATTAGATAAATACATAATATTTCTTATTTAAAATATTTGTCATAAAATAATTATTGTGATTATATTTTTGTTTGCCTTATAGAAAAAAATTCATTGATTTTAACATAGACTATAGATTTTGTATTCATTTAGATGATTTAAACTTTCTGTATATATTTTGAAATAATAAATTATTTACTATTAGTAAAACACTTACTAATGGTAAACACAGAAAATACTGAGAAATTCTCTAATGTAATTGTATATAGAACCTCATACAAATATTCTTTGAAATTAATTATATTCATTATTTTGATTAATATCCATCGATTTATAAATCAAATCACTTATATTATTAGTAAAAAACTAAATTTTTGCTGGAGCCATGCGAAAAAAGTGAAATAACGGGTTTTTCGTTCTCTTATTAATTATTCATTCACTTTTTGAGTTTTATCTTTTTTGCAACAGGTACAACACGTGCTTGGAATAGGTGCCAGTTTGCATGTGAATAATAAACGAGCTGTCGGATTTGCGATAGTGAATGTCTGTTGTAGTGATGGGTAGACGCTTTGTCAAATTACACAAGACTTATCTGCTGAGATTACCACAGGGAAAACAATTTTGTTTATTAAAATATTGCACTCAAATTGTTTTACTAGAACAAAATTCGCTAGGTTGATTTAAAGATACCATCAAATGTTTAAATATTTAAGTTGTTTTATTTTCATTAAAATTAGGAATATATCAAAAATATCTAAACTCAAGATTATAAATTATTTAAATACAGCAATTCGATTTTAGAAATGTAGATTGAAGTTTTATTTAAGATACTTATTCATTAAGCTAAAACTTGGCAATTACATCATTATAGACAACTGTTGAAATGGTTTTTGATATAAAGATCAAACTTTAGAACGTGAGAGCACTATTAATAATTCTACTTCCAAGTTAAAATATTGCTACTCTGGTTTTCTAAAATTGAATTATAGTTTAATTGTTAAAGATAAAAAACAAATATCAATCAATTGATTTTCGGTTTTTAATTTGGCCATTGACGACATAGAGATGCGCAAGGTTCTATTTGGCTACCCTATAAAATAATAGTTTTAATTTTCCTTAATATTCAGGAAACCACGAACACTCGTGTGGCTACATAACAGTTACTTGTTGTGTTTAAAAATTCATTTTTAGTTGTGCATTAATAAATTGATGTATTTGAAAAACATCACATTTATAGTATATAGGGAAAAAACGGTAGTAGTCCATATTTTTGTATTTTAATTTCATGGTTTAATTCGATAGCCTATTATTAGTAGTATAAAGTAATTATTACCCTTTGATTAAAAATATTTTCATTTTACTGTTATTAAATTGTCTATTTTTGTTCTATTATTAAAGAGACAAAAATGTATAACTTTCTCATTGCTTTCCGTAAGTTTTCAAAAAAGGACTACTACTGTTTTTTTTTTGTAGATAATAAACTATAATTTATTAATTTAGGTAAAATGGACTTTTTTATATAGTTATTATTTGAAAAAAATTGAGTTTTTTTACTACAAGCATAAAACTAAATAATTAATTATACTCTAAGGAAGATTATTAATTTATTCCCTATCAAAATGATCAAGCATAAAGCTCTTAATTATAAATATTATCTTATTTGACACTGACTTAAACACTGTTTATACTATTTATGATTAACCTTTGGGAATTAATTTAAAATTCAACTCATTTTATTTTTCAGGGAAACAAAGTAGCTCTAAAGACTTTGAAACGATCGCGACTAGAAATGTCACGTCCTTTATTATTGGAACTAAAAAGGGTTTGTAACAATTATTTTTTTCATTAATCAATATATGTTTTCAATAAATTAAAAATAATCATAACTTTAAATATAAATAAACTGTACCTTTTGTCATTAATAAGAGTGTTGATGATCTATGTTGAGTTCTGTTTGTTACCAGAACTAATTTAGTTCATTTATTTGAAATTATTTTGTAGTAAATATAATAGTTATATATGTTTTTAAATTTACAGTTAAAAGATTTACATCATGATCATTTGGTGAGGTTCTACGGTGCTTGCATAGAGCCAAACTATTGTTGTTTGCTAACTGAATATTGCCCCAAAGGTAGTTTACAAGACATACTCGAAAATGACCAGTTCAAATTAGATTGGATGTTTCGGTATAGTTTGATGCATGACATTGTAAAAGTAAGTATCGTTACTTTACAAATAATTTGCTTTTGTTCTTCAACGAACATATTTTTAACACGACCATAATGTTAAAAATGTCAGAATTACCTAAGAGATTTTTTCTCAATATTTTTTTAATTATAATACTTTATTTGAATTTTTACTTAAATTCGTATTATACTTCGTAAAAGTAATTCGTACTTATTTATATTACAATGATTAAAATCACTATCACAATAAACGCTTCGTTGAAAATCTGTAGATAGTGTTCAATTTTAAAAAATTGGTTGATTATTCCAAAAGCAACATCAACTCCTATTTCTTTAATTTTTCCCCGATTAGTAGTTCATTGATTTATTATACATGAATAAATACAAATTATAATGATTTATTTTAGTATAAAACTGATATTCAATAATTTAATATTGTAATTTTTACCGAGAAATTATAAAGTAGTTGTATATTTCGTTACTTATATGCAAACGTGTATAAAAATTAAACGGCTTGATAAAAAATTGTTCACAAAATAATTTGTTTGTTAATTATGAATAAATACTGTTGACACAAGGTGTTGACCCTGTTTGTCTTTTACTCAGAAATTACATTGTGTCCTACACAAAATACAACACATATATGTATATATATATATATATTAAATATTTATTATACAGCTCACAAGAAATAGGGGTGACAGTAGTATGCTTTATTCAATGACCTTCTGTTATTAATTCTTGCTACTACTTGTACTTGTTGATCGGTTCTTCTTATAGGCCCAACTCCATCAAATCTTCTAGGATCCAGTCCAACTGGAGAATGCAATTTTTTTTTCTCAATTCGATTGTATAACCGCCTTGTTATACCATAATCCTCATTCAGGATTCTGAGATCAGGTTCAGGTGAACCGTAAAGGAAAAATACAATTTTTTTCAAAACCTCGTTTTCAAAAAACCAGGTACATCTTTATGAAATAGGGCACACATACATGCTTTTTTATAACATGCTATCAGCGTACTGGCGATGATATCATTTACAGTATCGCCAGCTTGTCTCTGTGATGCGCGAACAAATACACTAGTTAACATGGAATTTTAATCAGAGTCGACAATGTACTTTCTAAATTTTTCGCGCTTATTTAAAATTTGTAATTCAATATTTCTATCACCTCTAATTTTTAAGATTATTACTAATTAGTAATAAATAAGTACTTACATATAAAAAAATAACCAAAAAAATTTAGGTTAAAATGAAATTAAACGTATGAAATCATAAATGAAAAGAGCCCCGGAATATTTCTGAATATTATTATATTATAGAATACTTAGATTTGTCAACAATATCGATATCGCCGACTTTTTACATTTCTCCTACGATTATTTTTGAAATATCGCGATAATCCCAAAAAATGTCTATAAAAAAAAACTTTTAATTTTGATGACTGTTATATTTATGTAAAAATACATATTGGGCCAATAACATTTTATAATAATCTTAATGTCACTTTCAGTATTAGAATATATTATGAAATATAGATATGAGATAAGACGAAAAATTATATTATTCATACGAAATTCTATTATTAGATTATATTTTTTATTATTATGACATTTTTGTTATTTCTTTTACTAAAAACATTTTGTTTATATAGTTTTTATTTTAACAGGTTTTAATACGATTATTAAATGTGCTGTGTTACCTAAGAATTGTTTTCTTTATTTTTGTTATTCAATTCGAATTAAATTTCCAGTCAATAAATGTTATTTCCCCTTATTTCTTTGTTGTTTTTAATAGTAATGACTAATGTTAATAATTCATCTCTAGTTTCACTTTCCATTGCTAGAAGTGAAGTATAATAATATTTTGGTTTCAAAATTACTTGAGTGGAGACATTTTCAATAAAAATTATCATGTCGAACTGTTAACAAAAATAAAATACTACTTGTAATCTTTTTTTTAATTTTTATTTAAAACCATAACACCAAAACTATAATACTATTAATCAATAAATCACAATTTCATCTAATAAATATAACCAATATATAATAATAAAGTCTTGTAACAGAAAAAAACTTCTTTATAATAAAAAATACTTTAAGAATATATTTTTTTTAATTTTACTGTCATGGTGATAAGATCACATATATGTGCTTATATGCTCGTTCCTACAATATTATTGTACTGTCAACTAGGCTTAGCATTGACACCATGATACACGTATTTCTGCAGGAGGGTATACTGCACACATGAACACTTATGAAATTCACGTCCACCGTGCAATAATACGAATGTCTAAAACGCTAGTTGACTTTTTACCATCATCGCGACTACTACTCTTATTGTCTGAGACATTAACTTAAATTAGCTACCATTGGTAGTGTGTATCGCAGTCAACTCCCTGTTGGATTAAAATAATCTCTAGGTGTCCAGCAGATTGTATTGTCTATTTACTTGACTCACTTAATAAACTATTATATCGTTGCATAATCAAGTGTATTAGATATGCGACTCATGACAGTTCCTCTATGGGTTTATAATTTAAATAGGAAACCTCAGTACCTAAGGTAGATATAGCCTAGCCAGCTATCCCTCGTCGGTCCTTTAGAATATTGTTGACGGGCATTTAGGTTCAACCTCTAAATATCCACGTAACAATAGTAACTACTTAGTTATTTAAATAGTGTACCTGACTAATCTAAACAATACGACTTTCTAAATTCTCATGAAGTTTTCAATTTAATAATGTCAATTTCAAATTTACAAATTGACCTAAATAGAAGTAAAATAGTTCAATATTTTAAAATTATAATCTTTCATAAAAACCAACATCAAAGAACTAAAAAATAGGTTAAACATAACATTTTGAATAGAAATTTATTTCTAATTAATTTAGTTTTCATAATACCACAGTGGTCGATTAATAATGTATCATAGTAAACTTGTATACAATATAAAAGTATGAGTCTTTAATAGTCATCAATTACTAATGTACACAACATAGTAAAACTACAATACGAATTTGATTTATCTGATTAAAAAAATTATAAATTTTTTCTATCGTATTATTATGATAAAAATAGGTGTAAATTTTTATTAATTTAAGTAAATCAATAATAAAAGTTTTTGTCTATGAAGGGATGAAAAAAAGAATTATTTAAATACATATTATTCTAGAGTTTTTTTAATCAAACAATATTTTCCTATACAAAAATTTAAAATGTGCAATAGTTTTCGAGGAATTGAATGTCTTTTCCTTAATGAATTACCTTTTATAAATATGTGTTACAATTAAATAAATAAAAATAAAGACTTATATAAATATTATAATAAATTATTCATAATATCTTGCTGTATATCAACATCTAATAAATTATTAAGTTTTAATAACATTTTATTTGATAATTTTTTTTTTTATTAATAATTATTTATGTCAAAAATTATTTGCCTGAATAAGGAGTTTTAATTCGCATCATTAAAAAAATCACTGAGTAAATATACAATGCGATCATCTAAAAATTCATAGATATTGTCCAGAATCTTAAACACCAAATCGATTTTTGTATTTTGGTCATTTTCATATTCATTAGTTGCCAATAATAAAAGTGGTTCGACATTCAACATTTGATCGTCTAAAATAAATTATACATTAATTTTTACAAACAATAATTTTTTTTATGTAATACCATTTAGTCCAGAGTTAATCCATCTTTGTGCAAAGTTATCATATTTATTATTAAATGTTTTTAAAACTTTTATTAAATTTTTTACTGTAATTTGTTCATTTACAATGTATCCACTCATAGCAATATACAACTTGTCGTGTTCACTCTAAATAAATTAAATAATTTAAATTCATTTTAAATTAAACTATTGTTAAATTGAAATATAGATTTCTTAGAATTTTATTTTAATCAAATATCTGAAATTGATTAGCCTTAATAAGAAATACTAACATATGTTTCTATAGGAATATCACAGAGAAAACAAATAATGTGGCTATCTAAAACTTCATTGATACTGCTCAAAGTCTTAAACACCAAATCGATTTTTTCATTAATTCGATTTTCAAATTTATTAGTTGCCAATAATAAAAGTGGTTCGACATTCAACATTTGATCGCCTAAAATAAATTATACATGTATTTTTATAAACAAAAATTTTATTTTTTTTATGTAATACCATTTAGTCCAGATTCAATCCATTTTTGCGCGAAGTCATCATATTTATTAGTAAATGTTTTTAAAACGTTTATGAAATTGTTCAATGAAATCTGTTGATTTATAATATATGAACTCATAGCAATATGTAACATTCCGTTTTCACTCTAAATAAATTAAATAATTATAATTAATCTTACATTAAAATTAATTTATTTAAATTGAAATTGAAATAAAGATTTCTTAACATTTTATTTTAATAAAATATCTGAAATTGATTTGCCGTAATAAGAAATTCTAACAAATGTATCTATAGGAAAATGAAATAATTATACAATATTTATTATAAATAGTTATTAAACTAAAGTATAGATTTTTTTTTATTAAACTGTATTTACAATATGGTTATCAAATTACCAATTTTAATCTTGACTTGGTTAATGTAAATGTCGAGCAGACTAAAATACCGAATATAATATGAAAATTCATGATAAATTTCCACCTTATACTTTTTTCAATTGAAGTAATGAAGTATATTAAAAAAAAGAATATGTCAGACAATTTATAAATTTCATTTATAAAAATTTTTTATTGGGTTATTTAAATAAAGGGCTAAAAAATAACTTTCATATAAATTAGACAGTTGTACATTTATCATTTAACGGGCTTTGCTTATTGCGAAAAGTAAACTTAAAAACACACTTGGAGTAATCAAATTCCGATTTTTCATAAAATAACAATAAATAATTTATATATAAACCATATAATTTATTTTTTTTTAATGTTAAACATTTTTTTTATTTAATATCTTTCCACTGAGTTCACAGTCCTTAAAATTGTTAAAAAAATAAGTATTTTATAAATAAAATAAACTTAGGCTAAAATTATCTTAATATAATATAATAGTATTATTTTTCTAAAGTATCTTTATAAATTAAATCTTTTAGATTTTTCATATCTACCATCTTTTTATTATACATTCTTTATTATTAGTTTACTAAATAATAAAACACTAACTAATAATATAAAATATACATTGTATATTGTAAATTGTACACTGTAGGGTACAGAAAGGCATATTCACAATATAGATAAAATTGTAATATTTTTTAAACGTTTATAAAGAAGATATTGATTATAAATGTGGATATTAGTACCACGAATTACATTTGACGCCATTTACGGTTTATCAGCTAATAGATATCTTTGATATAAACGATTAATAAAATTTTTTTATATCACAATCATGACCTATTTTACCCTACACGTTGTATTGTAATATAAAAAAAAAATTAGGGCGAAAGAAAAATTAATTTAAAACCCAAAATTTTCATTCTAGTTGCGCCTATAATTATAATTTGTCAACGTAAGATCATTGAAGAGTGTAAACAAATTTGAATTTTTAAAAATTAATATAGTCTAGTTTTTTTCTGTTAGAATTTTGTTGTAGAATCATATAATTCTTATATTCATCGCTTTAAGGGGAAATGACAAAATTGTTTATTTTCAGTAAATCTTTTTTGTAAATTAAATCACCTTACAAATATTAGACGTTTATCATTTTTTATAACAACTAACTCACTATTTAAACCATAAACATATGAATATATTGCATAGTGAGTAATCTAGTGCAGTAACTTAAAATATACCAAACTAATTCATAAAACAAATTTATCATTTTGTAATATTGATAAACAATATTATTTATTATTACGCATTCAATTTTGTAGATATGACGTAAAAGTAATTACATTGTAAAGGAATTGTACATTTTTGGCATTAGAAAACATGTGTAAACTATTTATTCAAAATTTTTTAATTTTGAGTTATTACACTAAAATACTCACCTTTGGTCTTAATATAATATTATAATATTATATAATAAAATATAATATTTTTATGCCAATGATTCAAACGTTTACATTTCAAGACATAAAAGATACAAAAAATAATTTTTATAAATTTCACAAGGAAACTATTATTTATAGTTAATATAAAAATAATAAATAATTTATATAATAATTTTATTGTATAAGCATTAACAATTAAAGTTTAATACAAACATAGAGTTTTATATCTTGGTTATTTTATTGTTGTTTAATTAGTATTACACTATGTATAATAATCAATAGGAAATAGTGTAAAATATAATTTTGTTATTTATTTAATTATCAAATTATTTCATTACCATGTATTATGAAATATTTAGAAACACTAAGATTATTTAAATACTGATAAAATGTATAAATTATATAATAAGTAATATATAGAAAGTACCAGCACTTTCTATATATTACTTAATATAAATTCAAACATAAAATTTGATTATAAAATAAAAACGGAATCTGACTTTATCAACATAAAGAAAATTATTTTTTAGTAAATGATTTTAATCGCCTAATGAAAACCGGTTTATTATAAAATTAGAGTCTTAATAAAATTATTATTATTATTATCATTAATCATATTATTATTATCTTTAATCGTATTTAATCATATAACCTCTCTAAAAGTTATTGCTTGTGTTAGAGATGACGGGAAATGTACTTTTAAGAAGAAACAGTGTATTTTGCAAGATAATTTTTTTAATAATAAGAAAGAAAGCATACCGCAGATTACTTTTATTAATTTAAAAAATATTTATCTCTAAAGTCTTCAAATAACCATCAAAAAAAATTGGATATGTATATCGGAAATAATGTTATCATTATTAACGCTAAACACATACTGACAATATGACCGAAAAACCCTTATTTAACTCAAGTGACGTTATCAACAAGTAATATTGTGACATTTTGCCAGTTCACACAAGTTTAATAATGAATTTTTTAGTGGCCCAAGATCTCAATTAATTAAATTTTTCTTATTTATCATGAGTAAATTTTTAAAAAAACAAGTATAATTAAAATAAATACAATACACATCATAGCAAAATTAATACATTCTCAAGTTTGCATCAAAGCTAAAATTAGAAATAACTCTTTTTGAAATTAATTTCCTGTTGTATAAAAATAAAATGGTATTCATGTAGAATTATTATTAGGTAAAAATATGATATCTTCATAGGTTTAAATGATGTATAAATTTAATAAATATCTTTATGATTCTGTTAAATGACATACTATTTCTTATATTACGAATCGTTAGGTAAAACATGTGCAATTTTTGCTGAAACTATCGATCAGAATCTATTAAAGGTATGTTTTGGATTTGAAATGTAATTGAGAAATTAGGAATTTGGGCATATTACGTTGTAGTTTTATTACTAGAGTACTCGTATAACGCAATAAAAATGTAATATGTGTAATTTTATTCAACATTTTTTTATATTATTTAATAATAATTTTAAAGAATTTGACTAACAAAGAGAAGTGGTCATACAATAATTATACTAAAATTATTTGTCAATAAATGATTTTAATAATTAAAATCATTTATGGACAAATATTGTAGTTATAAGTGGTGTTTTTTAAAAAATTTCTAAGAGTTTTTGAATTTTTCATCAAAGAAGGTAGTAATTTTTTTGTTTTTTTCTTTCTCTTAAAATTAACAGTATTTTTTTAATTTTTAGTGATTTTATAGCAAAATGTAAAAAAAAAAATAAGGTCAACTATAGTGAAGCCTCCACTCCACTAAATTTTTTGGATTAATATTTATTTATTTATTATTAACGTTACTGACAATAGCCCAAAAAAATCAGTATATATTTGACAGCAAATTGATCAACCTAAAATTACTATATTAACTAAATAATATGAACAAATTAAACAAAAGTAAACTTAGTATCAAAAAAAAAAAAAAATTAACCTATATTTTATTTAAGATATGTAAAAAATTATAACATGGTCAAAATTTAATTAATGAAATAGCTAAATGGCTAAATTAAATTTTACAAGAGTGCAAAAAATCAGGGTCATTATTTGCAGTGCACAAATATTGTTATCTGACAGAGATACAAATTATCGCTTTAATGCATTAAACTTAAAAAAAAATAAAATATAATTTCCCTTGTCCAATAAATTTATTTTTTGGATCATTTAGCACTTTGATCAACTTGGATGGTATTTTCAAAAAAAAAAAAAAAGTATTGAAAATAAGGTAATTTTAGCTTCGATGCGAAGCTGAAAAGGTATTGGTTTTACTAAGATGTGTTTTTTTTTTTTTTTTTTTTTTGTCTGTTACCACTTTTTACTATAAAATTTTTTTTTTAACCTTGATCCTAATAAAATTTTATAAGAATATACTATAGACAATAGTTTATTTTTATTGATTTATTTTTATATTTTGCATTGTTTGAAAATCTATTAAAAACCCTAAATTCAATAAGAATTGTAAAAGACCATCTACGCAAGCTTAAAAATAAATGTTTTTCAACAATTTTGAAAATGTTTTAGATTAACTGTGTTCTTTAAAACTCTATAAAATTAATATCCTAATATTTTTCTACTATAAAAAATTGGTCGTTAAAGTAAAAAAAAAAACGCCAATATATCAAAAAATTAACTATTTTCAATTAAACAAATAATTTAACAAACATTTAATATTTTATTGAAAGTTTAAAACATAAAAATTGTGAAATTCAGATTAGCATTGAAGCCTTTTTTAGCTTCGATGCGAAGCTGAGAAGGTATTGGTTTTACTAAGATGTGTTTTTTTTTTTTTTTTTTTGTCTGTTACCACTTTTTCTCAGCTCTCACCGAACCAATTTCTTTCAATGATACGTCAAAAGATCACAAATTGTATCTAGTCGAAGACATTACCCTCAAAAATTGAAAAAAATG